ATGATAGCCATCTGGACGCCGTGAAATTGACGACTTTTCTACGCATCAGTATTTGTCTAAAACCCGTGGGACCCGACTATTGGTGGGTTACATATACCGATCACCGCATGGTTAAGGGAAAAAGAAATCAAACACTGGAAAAGACATTTATAACCCTCAACTACTACAAATTTCACACGGTGCGCGTACAAGAAGAATGAAGCAACAGACAAAACGGCGTGAGATGTAACGGTAGGTGAGGCCAGAAGGATAAAATAAGAATTTAACGGAGACAGTAATAATTAATAAGTGGGAAAATTGATAGAGAGATGGAAATTACTAGTTATGTATGCAAAATCAGAAATCGTATAAGAAAAGAAAAAGATGAGATTGAGATTGAGATTGAGATGGAGAGAGGTTAATTACGTATGTATTAAGCTGACGGACGAAGCTAGAGAAATTGTTGTGTTTGAAGTATTTGGGGAGCAAATCAGTAGCGAAATCGGCGGTCTTCCAGACGACGAAAGTAGAGCCAGTTTGATTCCAGGAAACGACGTGGTCGGTGGCGGGATCGTCGACGAGTTGGTAGGTCTTGGTGAGAAACGGCGCCGGAAGCGACCTCTGCGCCATTGGTGGAAAGAAGGAAAGAACGAAAAATCGATAGGAAAAAATGAATTAAGAGGAGGAGGAATTGTCAGATGAGAGAGCTGAAGAGAAGAAGAGCGGTGAGGAATTCCCAGTCCCAGCAGTAGAAGCCGGAGAGGACGGGGGGCCTGTCAAATTCCATGTTGGGAGGAATGGACCATAACTTCGAGAGTCGGAGAATGAATGAATTGATCGGACGAAATAAGAATAAGATTCCGATCCGGTGCCCAGTTCGTAGTTCCTGTAAGAAATCCTTTTTAAAGAAGGGGGAGGAAAAAAGAGACAATGACGTGCACCTTCTAGAAATCTTGAGAAACCGCATCCCACAAATTAAATGAATTTTACTTTACTTAATTAATAAAAAAGGAAATTAGAGAAGAGAAAAGATAATTCCTACTGCCCAAAGCATAAAGCACAACACAAAAGAACCAGTCCGCCCTCAACCCCTATTTCAAAGCATTGAAAATGGAGGAGGATTTAGTGATTATATTTTAATAATGGGAGGTCTGGAAAGAACCTAGCTAAGATTAGATGTGGTGTGGGGTCATAGACTCGTAGCGCGAAGCTTCTCTTCTAATACTCGAGTTCTAATTCATTGGTAAATTAAATTGTAACGTAACATTTTTCATTTCATTGCCAACTCCAAATGTGAACGCGTTGCCTTCTTTTTTCCATTTAGAAAAATATGAGAGAATGACCAATGACCGCCCAAACGCCTTGCCGTGGGAGGAGAGGAACGTTACATCTTTTTTCTTTTCTTTTCATTTTTTTTTAATTAATTTCTCTCTCAACTCTCACCTAACTCCATTTCGGTTCTCTTGACATGAGTTTTTACAGGGTAGAAATGTAAACAAAGTTAAATTCTTAAATTTCCATCATTCCAAACTACTACTTACTCGTGTGAATTTATTTTGGGAAAATCATTAATTAATCTCCCTAGAATTTGTATCGCCAATTAGGAGGTGTGTGATGTATTCCATGGAGTAGGTAAAGATTCAACTTAATGAGGGAGATATTTAACTTAACCTTATAGAAAACACAAAGTTTAGGATAATCACAATCTTGAGAAAGATGTTGAAAACAAGGAAGAGACCAAACTTGATGGGGCACGGTTTTGCTTAATCCGTGTCCAAGCTGTCCAAAAGCAGCACCAAATGGGCCGCTCCAGTTTTTGTTTTATTTTATCAAACGCTATCGAAACCGAAATTGATGAAGATAAAGGAAATCATAATAATTAAACGGGAAATGAAATGATATAATAGTTGCGTAAATGGATGGGAATTGGTGCGTAGTAGAGTAGATGGTTTTGTTTTGTCTTTGCCCTCACAATTAACAAACATGCCGAAGAATGTGCTTTTTCCAAAAGCGGGTGCTTCCTAAACCGATAAGATAAATTATCCTGTTTGGGCTACTATTCTCTTCACGCTTCTCAAACAGGGCGTTCTGCAACCTTCTATTCTAAATACGTAATTTCCTCGGTTACATTACATACAATATTTTAAATATTCTCCCTTTTTTCAACTCTTAACATTTCCATGTCCATCAACTAATCTCAATTTATTGAAAAATGCAATTGTGTATTCCAACTCCTACTTCAATATTGTTGTATTAAAAAACAACCCTACTTGACGATGGATATTTTTATTATAGCGTAAAAATGTCAATAATATGAGATATCATTAATAAGAATCTAATGTCAACATGAGCTTAGCTCGACGGTATTAACATCTATCTTCAACCATGTGGGTGTGAATTCAAATTCCTCACCCTACTTGATGTACTAAAAAAATAAATAATAACAACCTAATAGGAGAAATTTAAAAATTTTAAATTGTGAAAGGTTTCTTTATTGATTTTGATACTTTAAAGAATTTTTTTAGAAATATCCCTACATTATTATGTTATGAAATTCATATTTATTTAAAATTGAGACCTTAACTTAAAGTCAATTATTTATTAATGATTAAAATTATAAAGTTTAAGAATTAAACTTCTAAGTGGGTGTAATCTTTGAATTTTAAAAAATGTTTAATAAGTGTTTGAATGTTAAAAAATGGTCTAATAAATCTAGGACTCAATCACTAGAAATTTTTTGGTTATATTCGTTTTGTCTAAAGTAATTTTATGTTGTGAAACTTATAAGATAAATCATAAAAATTACTACATCTGCTTCTGGTATTGATTGACCCATCAAGTTGCATCTCGTTACCCTCTCACACTACAGGAAATCGCACTTTCTGTGACAAATTTTTAGCGACAATTTATTAACGAAAATATTTTGTAGTCTTAATGCAAGCCATTGAAGAAATAATCTTCACTCTTTTGAGTTAAAAGTAACTCAAAGACTTGACCTATGATGTGTCTGGGGATGGCGGGATGGTTTGGAGGTGAAAAAAGTTGTTCAAAGGACAAACAAAAGTCAAAGTTGGGCACGAGGGTGAGAAATTCCCTTATTTCTAAAATTTAAAATTATTTTATTACATACATATATACTAATCAAAGTGTTATTTTCTAAAACTAGGATGTGGGGGTGATGGTAAAATTGGTGATTTTGAAAAAAGAGATTTTAGTATAATTGATTTTTCAAAATAATCTTCCAAGTGATACTTTTAAAAACTAATTTAAATTGATTTTAAACTTTCTTAAAATCAATTTCTTAATTTGCCAAACATGATCGGAAAATGATTTTTGAGCATATATATTCAGACTCATCTTTCTTTCTTGTTTTTTTTCCCCTTCAGAGACTATGTTTTAGAATGGAACAACGGTATCTTAACTAAGCATTTATGGTATAGATCAATATTAACAACACTATAATCAAATCACATAAAATTTTAGAGCATTTTAGTTTGGATATGTACAAACTCTTCTAACAATCTAATTTTGTATACGTTTACGCACATAGTAGTATAGTAGTTAAAGTTATTAGCAATACAATAATCTTATAGAAAGGACAAGTTAAATACTAGAAATATGAAAATGTACTTAAAATAAAGAAAAACAAAATTAAAGTGGATAGAGAAAGTGTCGGATTTATAAAAGAGTGTTATGTCTAGAACAGACAACATCGTATTATGATAGAGACACTTGCGTGTAATATGTATATGTGAAGGCATGTATAAATGAAGTAGTAAGAGAAATGTTAGGAGGAGACGAAAGGAAAGAACAATTTTGGGAATGGGGGCGGTGGGTGAAGTGAAAATACCGCCACGGTGTGAATGTGGGAAAACAGAGCACGTTGTTTTAGCGATGGT